ATTACATTCGTGGATATGATTTGGTAGCAGATTCTTTGCGGAATGTATTTAGTAAATATGGTGCTATCAATAGAGTTTTTGTGGAAGAGCGTCAAAAGTACATCTATAACTTATTGTCTTCTAATATAGTAAGGGGCAGTTTTTATTATTCCAAATATTTATACAGAGATAGTGAGGCATAATTTTTTTTTTTTTTGTCTTCAAATTTTTCAAATTTTGTGAGTCTTCAGGAGTGCATTCATTACATATGCCACAACGGAGGAAGCGGAAGTTGCGATAAAGGAAGTAAGCATATGGTAGTTATAACATGGAATGAAATGACTAAGATATTTGAATAGGAATGGTTGGAAAATAACATTTTCATAATTGAAGTATCCGATTTGGGTTATTGTTACGATCAGTTATTGTTGTGCTAATCGAACTACTTTGATTAATATTTACCTTTGGTGTTAATAAATAGGTATTTAAGTATGTCCTAGTACCGAGTTTCAAAAACTTGATTTTTCCAAAGAAACTTTCGAAAGCTTCTTTTCAGATGGATGGAAATATGGTTAATGGAATCACATTGCGTGTTTCATTTGCACGCCGTCAAAATCAGTGTGGTGATTCTGGTCGCTTTCGGAGTAGTAAATCATTCGACAGGAATAACGATGGTGATGACAGAAGTGGCGGTGATCGTTCTAATCGTTCTCGGGGCGAAAGAAGTACTCGCTTTCGGAGTAACGAACGTATTCGTTTCCGCGGACGTGGACGTGGTCGAGGACGCATGTGTGAAGGCGGAAATTCTTTAGTGCCGCCAGTTTCTACTGAAAATAACGATGATTTCTGGTCCGGTGCGAATAAAGCGTCAAATGATGGGTGGTCGACAGCGGAACCGCTTCATGATAAAGGCGATTTCTGGCCATCGGGAAGACAATCACCTGAAAGAACGAGTGGAAGGCCAAGTGTTGGAAGGGATAATAAAGAAGAGGATGACTTTGATACGTATAAATCATCAATATCTTCAAATGAAAAGAATGATTTTGATACGTATAAATCAACAATATCTGCGAACGAAAAGGATGATTTTGTTAACAAAAAAGACGATGATTTTGACACGTATAAGCCATCTAATAATGATGGAAGAGGTGAGGATTCCAGTACATGGTCTTGGGAAACAGCGGATGGTAATTATCAAGAAAATTTTGGAAAAAGGCACGACGGTTCTGAGCATCCGGTTGGTGAGAGACGAGGTGGTTTCGCTAATGACAGATATCGCAGTTTTGGAGGTGATGGACGACGTGGCAATGGAATGCCTCGACGAGGTAATAGAAATCGTGGGGGTACATCATGGCGGTCGAGAAGGCGGAACAATGAGTTGAAAGGCGATGACTGTCGCTCAGCTAGTAATTTGAATGTTGGCCGAAAGAGCTCATGGCTAACAAAAGCTGAGAGTGGAGATAAGTACGATTTTTGGACATCTGGTGATCGTCATTCGAATGCACCTAGTAAAAGTGATAGCGACAATCGAGAAAACGAATCACAGGAGAAGAGTAATGATAAGGACGATTTCTGGCCTACATCTAGTCATCAGTCTAGTTGTGGAGGAGATGAATCGTGGTCTTTTCCCCTTGAAAGATCAGGTGAAGATCAATCATTTCAAGGAAACACACGAGGAGATTATAAAAGCGGAAGAAGAGGTGGAGATCGAGGCGGAGGATTTCGACGGCAGCGTCGCAATTTCGACAGCAAGAGTGCATGGCCCGATGGTGAAGAAGACAAATCATCTTATTGTGCTGAATGGCCTGATGTTGATAGCAAGCTATCGATGGTTTCATGGCCGACACCATCTGATGATAAGGTGCCCAATTCTCCGCCCCCTCCTCCACCGATGTCTGAAGTTCAGGTAGCATGGAGTGAAGCAAGTAAGTATCATTGATCATTAATTAGTATTAACCAGTTTATCTTTTATCATTGATTGTTACAATATTTAAACCATTGAGAGTACCAAATATGCTATTTGAAAATTCAAATTTTTGTTCTTTTAAACCTCGTTCTAAATCATTCGTTGCGGATGCAAAAAGTCATCCCTTTATCCCAAATGGTTATGGGATGTTGCTAAGTTGTGAACGATACTTAGTACTCAAATTAAATCACCCGTTATCAGAGGATTGATGAATCCACTTTTTAAATGCTACCTTTTGTGGCATTTTGCCCTGACCATTAGCTCTTCGTTATTTGCGTCCACAATGACCGCACAATGCATACCTTTATTTGCTAACGGCAATTAGTCAAATGGCCCATTTTAATCTTTTTTTTTTGTTAAGTCGTGGTATCATTACAAGTGGTCAATTCATTCATCAAAGACTATTGGTCAAACGATTGTTTGATTCTGAAACAAAGTTCAGGCAGAAGAAATTTCCTTGTCCATTTCATCATACTCCACTCAGCAGGATATTTTACCTCGTAGAGTTAAAAAAAAAAAAGGCAATGACCCCTATACAAGGTCAAAGGCCCTTTGTACTACATTGTCCTGTTTGTCCTGACCAGTAGCCACTCTTTGTTTGCGTCCATGGTGTCATCACACATTGCACACCTTTGTTGGTGCTAAGACGATCAGCAATTGGTCCATTTGAACAAAATTGGAGAAAAAAAGCAAATGCTGACCATTGGAAGTTCCCATTGGACTTCACGGCTTATATTTTCATGAAACTGTCGAAGGATATCGATTTTAACCTTTCACGGAGTATTTCATCAAATAGCTCATGTTTCAAATGAATGAGAAACTTTTCGCTAGCTGGACGATAAGCTAGGCATGTTCAAAACAGTTGAGATAAGGTTAAAATGATCTTCCTAATGACCGGCAAGAATGATTGATGATGTATGGAAGTTGTGTATTTTTTGGTATATCTCTCATATTTGTGCGATCTGCAAATATTTATTTAATTTCAATGTTTTTTTTTTTTTTTTAGAGATAAGATATTGATCAATAGGGATATTTTACTGGTCGGCCAGTTTATTTACAGTGACAAATCAGTCATTATCTTACGGAGGATTTTGGAACTTTAATAAATGGTAGATTTCGTTTTCATTATGGAAATTTTCATCCGATTTTTATAAATAAAAATTGTATTTCCAGCCAAAAAAACCTCGAAAGAGATGGCAACAGCAACAAAAAAAGAAACAGTTGTAATACAGCGAAAACAAGAAATAAGGACACAGGTGTCATATGGTGAGGATGATCCATTTGCTTGATATATTGTTTTTTACCTGTTAAAGATGACATTCCAAAAAATTTGAATATATGTTCAGTTCAAGTTGATGTTTTGTTCTTCTCTTGGACTTTAAATTCTAAAGAATAGTGTTATTTTATTGAGTGATGAATGTTGTTTTCACTCTTATTCTTTTAGTTCTTGCTGAAGATTCATAATCATGTTATATGAATTCATCTCTCGCACTGTTTTGTTTCTTAATCACTGCAACAATTATTTTGCTGTTAATCCCATCATTTCGTCTTTTTCAATTATCATTAATTATTTCATATTGTCTGCTAGCTGTAGATCAGATTATCTGACAAAATTTACCCATTTTCAGTAATTTTTGATTATCCCAAGACAAAATTGTTGCTTTTATTTGAAATATAAATCTTAAAAGTTTAGTACCTTTAGCTTTATTTATTGTGATTGATTTTAAAGTGATAACATGCTTAGTTAGTCATGAATGGTATAGCCTGGGATGATAAAGAAATAGAAATGATAAGGGAGTTAAGCTGAAGTGAAGAAAAGTAAGCTGTAGTTTTATTCATTACATTTCCACGACTGAAATCTATTTTTAAGATTGTAGTTTGTGTATTTTTCGTTGCTTTACTTCATTATTTTATCAATGTTGAGTGATGGTTCTAAACCTTATCCTTCTTCACGATGTGAAACATTTGGAACATCGATGTTTTTCCTTCATTGAAATTTATTTCCTCATTCTTTTGTGTCATTTTTTTGATGAAGATGACTAAACCTAACAATAATTATTTCTTAGCTACTGGATTTACTCTACTGTTCTCAATATAGCCGCTTCTATTAGTAGTATTGACAAAGTAAGTCCTGAATCTGCTGGAAGCTATTTGTTAGGTTGTTATATTTTCCCCTTATTTCTAAATGCTTTGTTATCAGTGTGAATATCTGGTTTTATCATATATCGATGATATAAATGATTATAAATTTGAATTACTTTAGGAAGTGATTTCAAACATTCTTACACGAATGATATCAGTAAATAATAACTGATCTTGGAATTATTGAAAAGATAATTCCTAATCAAGATATGCCTTGTTACCATCCATTACCTTCATTCCTTTTCCCAAACAAATAGGTGAGAGGTGGAATATATCTTTAAGTCTCTCAATTGTTAAATATCCTTGGAAATACTCTTCCCGATATGTCTTCAATGTTCGATACTGATTGTTTTCCTTTAAGAAAAAAAAAAAGTTCATTAGAGTGAAAGAAAATTTAAGCTTATTTGCGTCACATATATCCGATTCAATTTATCATGATTCATTTTTAAGATAAATTGATTGTCATTCCTGTATCCGGATTGATTGTCATGTCTTGTATTCGGAACCGAATATACTAGAATTGAATGAATATATTAGACTAAATCAAAATGACAAATTTGCTTAATATGTACTGAGCGACCAACCACAAAATAATGGTAAAATCATTTTTTTTTCTTTTTTTTCTAAATCAAATTCTGATTGATAGCGATTTCTTATTGCATTACTGTAGAATGGATGACAACAAGATTTGCAGGAAAAGAAAAACAAATTGAAACTTTTAAATTTAAAAGTATCTGAATTAAATTTATTGCATGGTGGTCGGTTTTATCTGACATTAATGAGTATGTGTGTGTGTGTGTATGTGTATGTGTGTGTGTATGTGTATATGTATGTGTGTGTGTGTATTGTGTGTGTGTATGTGTATGTGTGTATGTGTATGTGTGTGTGTGT